TCCTAGCGTACACGATACGGGGGTGGGCTTTTTCTACGTTCATTGTGACCCTAAAATACACCCCTCCACCAACGGACAGCATATCTGAAATTAGTTCCTTTTTTTGGCAAAATATTGGCTTATTTGACTGGGCTAATAGTATACGTGACGTAAACTATAGCATGTTAGCGCGTTCTGAATACGGGCCTATATCTATTATTTTTCTTAAAAATAAAAATGTTATCTATTAATATAAGTTACCTAAATAAAATGAAAAATAAAGGACTCTTTATATAAAATAATAATCTAACAAAAAAAGGACATTAAGAGTCAGATAGTAAATAAAATAAAATAAAGCGGTTAAAACATTAAAATAACTTTAACTATGTATATACATAGAAATAATTGAAATACAATAAATAAATTAGAAGTACTTAGCCGCTTATAATGTTATAAAAATGATAAAAACGCAAATTTGTAAAAAAACGCAACTACACTGCAAACAAAATTGTGTTTAAACAACATACTTCAAAACATGTTAAAAGATGTCTCCACTTTTAATACACAAAACTGGCAGATTAAAGTAACACACTTATGTGTGTTGAAAAAACACACTTCCATGTATATAAAATATGGTTGCTTAATGTGTATTAATGAGATATATAAAGTGCATAAAAATAACACACTTTAAATGTGTTATGAGGATAATTCGCACTACCAAAAAATTTGTGTCCGCCATAATTTACTAAACTGTATTATGCAATTAAAAGTTAATTTATAGCAATGGCAAAGATTTCAAGATTTATATTTTCCTGAAATCTGTGTCATTTTTGATATGAATATATCTTAATTGCGTATTAATAGAGACAGTCTAATAAATTAATCGGCAAATTTGTGTGTGTGCAATGTTAATTGGGCAGTATATCAACAATTCGTAAATTATTAATTAAAAGTCAAATTTATTGCGTAAGTGTTACATATTTATTAATACATTTCACATGTAAGTATTGCCCACATAACTCAGAAACTAAAGAAACATAATTTTCTAATATTATTTATTATAAATATTTTCTAATATTATTTATTATAAATATTTTCTAATATTATGTATAAGAATACATATAATTATTGCTTTAAATAAAATATCCCACAAAGATAACATCAATTCTTTGCATTCAGGTTATAATTTTGTACTCAACAAGGTAAATACAACACAATGTCTTAGCATTTGTATTGTTGAGTTTTAACATAGATGTATAGTAACTTATGTTCTTTGTCAATTCTCTAAGACAGTAATAAAATTTTTCATAAAAATGACAAAAAAAACTGAAAATTTATAAGCATAGTAATTAATCGAATTAGTTAATATTAGATATTAATATACGAGTATTATATAGCTTATACACACGATATACAAATGTATCGTATATTTAAAGTTCATTGTGTGTAGGCTGTGTATTTTGATCTTTTTCACGTATACTTAAACGCCATCTCCTAAAATCTCGTTTAAAATCGTCAAACATTTTGCAAGAATAATTGTTTGGCGTATTGAGAGCAAAATAATCAAAAATGGACAACGAAGAAACATACGGCCCTGGAAAGTCTGATGCGCATGCATGATAGGTTCCCAATAATACTGTGAGACATTCAGTAGTAGAGAGATTATTAATTTTTATTTTTTTGCCATCCGCAACGATGAAAGCAGCAACTATTGTTTTATCTTCCACATAAATGACTAGTCGTGGACCTTCAGTTTCTTTGGTGACCAATTCCTGACCAGGAGGCGATGAAGCCTACAGAAACAGACAAAATGTTTTGTATTGACATGTTAGTGTAAAATAATCTATAAGGAGCAAAATTATTTAAATATTACATTCTTCACAGTAAATAGTGGCTCAACACTTTTTGCTGTCCTCTTTGGCTTATAGTTTGAGTAAATCTTTTGCAAAATATTTAATTTCCTATTTTCTAAAATTGTATCATCTGGCATTTTAAGAAAAGAACACAATTCCATAATTAATGCATCAATTTTTTCAAATATGTCACTGAGTTTCAAATTTACTCGTAGACTGAATTCAAAGAGAATCTAAAAAATTCAAACATATGAGATAACATTTAATGTATAGATACAAATAATGGGCAACAAATTACTAAATCAAACTAAAAAATAAATAATTTACCATTTCAGCCTTCAAAAGAAAAGGGAAGTTAAATACGACTGTGCTTATAGTATCTGACGTATCAATAATTCCTTTTCTTTTTATAAATGTCTCTTTCATTAAAGCCTTTACATGAGAAGTGAGACCAATTTTTTCAGTTAATGTTTTTAACTCATCCATCATCTCTTCCTGCTTTTTTTTCTCTTTGTCTGTTTCTTGTAAATAACTGAAATAAAGAAAACAAAAATAAAAATATGTATGTATAAGATATGCACAATATGACCCATATTCATAACACGGTTGAGTACAGCAAATCAAAAGGAATATAAGGCACTTTTGATTAGTTACATTTCACTTGTCTGCATATTAATAAAGTTGTAAACGCGTTTTTAATATGATGTACAAGATCACTAACCTTTTTATGTCAACAGGTTGAATTGATGCCATTTTAAGATTTGAAGAAGAAATGCCTTCTTCCTCACTGCAGGAAGAGTTATCTTCTTTAACGAATTGTTTAATTTTTCTTTTTTCCCGAGCTCTTAAATTTCTTACGCATTCACTTAAGCATTTTCTAATGCTATTCTGCATACGAGAAAAAAATCATGTATAGCCAGCTATATGTTAATAATGAAAAGAAAAAAATGTAAAAAAGTGATAAATAAAAAATTCTAGAGACTTACGTAAGATACATCTTCTCCTTCATCAGCCAATATGGGATGCCTCTCCGCGATTATTTTCGCCATTTCTTTATAATGCTCTTTAGTGATCTGATTATTTAACTCAGTCCTTAACATACCAGCATAATGTCTTATAAATTCCGAGGAATGTCTTATAATTCCATTAGGATGTTTTGCATATTCGGATAAAGAATGAGGTAGCACATTAATTACATGGAAAGGCAGCCCTTTTGGTCTTTTGATATTCTAAGAGAAAAACACAATATAATATATCTGCGTATCTATAATAAAACGCGTTTTTTACGAGAACGTTTTAATTACATTATAATATTCTAAAAAAAAAAACCGGTAACTTATATAAGTATCAATGCAAATAATACATATACCACAAGTTATAAATACATATATTATTACACATAAAATATCAACAAGAATAAGATGTGAAGACTTTAAGTCACATACCTTTCCTGACTTGATATTCGTATTTAATTTCCTTTTTGATGTATTTTCTGTTGACTTCATAGCTATATCTGTTATTGTATTTATTACTGTATTTATTACTGTATCTGTTACTGAATCTATTGTTTCGAAGTCAATTTTTTCGTCATTTTTCTTGATTACTTCGTAAGTTCCAACAATATCATCATTAACATTGCCAATATTCATATCGATATTTTCAATATCGTTCGATATTTTATGGCATTTCAGCACGTCACTCGTTAAATCTACAAATAAAGTATTGGGAGATTGCATGCTGAGATTTTGTACGTGGATTTTATTCTCAGATGCTTGACTTTTGGAGATATCTTCTAAATGACAGAATACAACAGCCAAATCTGCATCATGTTCGACTTCAGGCTCTTCATCTTCATCCACATCTACTAATATTCTTTCTCCAGTACTTTTTTTAACTTTATATTTTTGAAAAATAATATTATTAGAGTTCTGCAACCTTATTTTCAAATCCTCATCTCTTTCAGCAACTTGTCGCATAATCTTTCTTAAATTATTCCAATCAGAAATTTCTGATGTGCTTTCGAACGTAATACATTTATTTCTATTACCGAATTGTAAATAAACTTCTTTCTTAACCATGATGTTGTATCTGCATGCAAGCAACTCGTTTATAATATCTTTAATAATATAATCGTATAAGTAGTTGAGGTTAAGTCAACTTTATGTTCAGTTTCAACTAAATAAGTAAATAAAATAGTATTGTTGATCCTTACCTTGTAATATATATAGATCAGTTTTATATTAAAATAGTTCTTCTCTTTATTAGCAAGCGTCACGATAGTATTATATGCGTAGCGATAGTAAATGCAGTTATCCTGATTTCCTTGACAAAAGGCGGGAAATTTCCTGTGGTTGGCGCTTTTTTGTGCACACGTGACGTAAAGCTACTTCTATAAGATGCAAGCCTTGAAAGTTCGTTGCAGCAGCCAATCGGCTGGCGTATTATGTAGAACGAGCTTTAGGTCACGTGTGTATACAAAGGTCGACCCAGCAGAAAATTTCTTGCCTTTTACCGTCAAAGATACATTTTAAGATACATTGCATTTATTATCGCTATGTGTATAAATAATACTTGCTACAAAGAACTGTTTTAATATAAAACTGATCTATATATGTTATAAGTAAGGATCAAAAACACTGTTTTCTTATTTATGTATTTAGTTGAGACCGAACCTAAAAGTTGAACTAACCTTGACTACTTTGTATATTGTATCATATTATTGAAGATATTGAACGATATTTGAAGATATTGAAGATGTAATGCATGCACCTAGAAGATAGTTAAGAAAGAAGTTTATTTGCAATTCGGCAATAAAAACAAATGTAAGTTACATTTGTAAGCAAATCAGAAATTTCTGATAGGAATAATTTAAGAAAAGTTACGTGACAAGTTGTTGAAAAAGACGAGGATTTGAAAAGAACAAGGTTGCAGAATTGCAATAATATTTTTTTCAATAATATAAGGTTAAAAAAGTACTGTAATGAAAATATTAATGGTTATAGATGAAGATAAAGAACATGCGAAGTCGAACATAATGCAGATTTAGTTATTGTGATCTGTCACTCAGAAGACATTTGACTAATTCAAGAGCTTATACAACTAGCTGCGTGAACTATACTTAGCACCAATCGTATAGTTTATTTTTATATGTGTATTGTATACTCTGGAATGGAGACGGAATTGAGACGTCTAAAATGTCCAATGTGTTTTTTCTCCACTGTGATTCCAAGAAGTTTAACATATCATTATGTGAGGAATCATAGATTTGATCCACATTTCATTGTAAGATGTGTAGTAGCAGGTTGTACAGCCACTTTCATCAAGTGGTGTTCTTTCAAAAAGCACGTTTTAAGAAAGCATCGTAATAGCTATGATAAATTGCTAACAGACGTTTCTCATGAATCAAATGTTAATCAAATGGAAAATAATTTATTACAATCAAACATAGGTGAGTAAATTTTAATTACATTTATTTATCTCGTACACTTTTTTCACTGTATACTAATCATGATCTTCTATTTCAGAAATAGCAGATGGTGAAATCAATCAAATGGAAAATGATAATATATTACAACCAAACAGAGGTGAGTGAATTTTAATTATATTTATTCATTTTGTACATTTTTTTATATTGTAATTATGATCTTTTATTTTAGAGACAGCAGGTGGCGAAATCATTGAGATACATGATCTTAATTGGCATATAATGAAATTTCTTCTCTTTATTAGAGATAATTGTAAAATCTCTCAGATAGCTATTGAAAATGTAGCATCTGGATTGCAACATTTTATTAATGAACTTTCTTCAATATTGCTGGTAAGTTTTATGTTAATTTTATTTTTTATATTAAGCAAAACCTTTTATAAACGCTATTTATCCCTTTTTCAGCATAAACTTCGTCAAAATATTGATCCTGAATTGGGATTTATTACAACTGAAAAATGTTTCGAAATTATTGAGCAAACTCTTCTCAATAATTCAAATTCGTGGACTAGTTATAATAATCACAATATGAATAAATTTCTTATGAATAACTTAAATATGATTCCACCAAAAGCTATAGAACTAAGCCGCACAATGCTGTGGAAGCACAAACCTAAACTTGATTTAGTAGAGAAAAAATCTTATGGCTATTATTTGTCACTGCTTTCTAACTTACAAAGATTACTCAATAATGAACAAGTACGTTATTGTATTGATAATCCAAGAAATAATGAGGATGTTATGAAATCTGTCTTGGATGGTCAGTACTACAAATTGCATGAGATTTTTAGTAAGACCTCTAATTCTCTTGCAATTATCTTATATTATGATGAATTAGAAATAGCTAATCCACTCGGATCACGTTCTCATAAGATTGGCATGTTTTATTGGTCCCTTGCCAACATCTATCCAGAGTGGAGATCCTCTTTTCGTGCTATTAATCTCCTTGCTATTGCATATTACTCTGACATTGTTAAAGGAGGTCTTGATAAAATTCTTAATGAATTAGTTAGTGAAATAAAAATTTTGCAGACTGAAGGTATTAGTGTGCTTATTAATGGAACGGAAAAGTCATATAAAGGATCTCTCTTAATGGTTACAGGTGATACACCTGCTTCAGCATTTTTAGGTGGTTTTAAAATGTCTGTTAGTGCAGATAAGCCATGCCGTACATGTATGACTGATCAAGAGAGATGGAGAATATTTTTTACAGAAAGAGCCTTTACTTTAAGAAATATGGAGAGCCATTTAAATCACTTAGAAATAATTGAAGGGCCTGAAATGCTTCAAACTACTCGTGAATATTGGAAAACAAATTTTGGAGTTAACACGAGAAGTAAATTAATTGATATCCCACATTTTGATGTCACAATGTGTCTTGTACAGGACATAATGCATGTCATGTCTGAGGGTGTTTTAGAAGTAGAGACAAGGCTTTTAATTAATTTTTGCATTCAAGAAAGAAAAATTACTTTAGACACATTAAATAATCGCATAACTTTATTTAATTATGGTCATATGCAGAGAGATAAACCTTCATTGATTAAAATGAGTCACCTTAAAACAAATTTAAGGCAGACGGCTGCTCAAATGCTTTGTTTTGCACATGTATTACCATTTCTTATCAATGATAATCTATTAGATGAAAATAGATCAGAAAATAATGCTATTTACGATAGACTTTTACTTCATACAAGACTGTTGCAAATTACAAACATCTGTTTTGCCTATGAAGTAACTAGAAATGATGCTACTTATTTAGTACAACTCATACAAATTTTTCTTTCTCAATTTGATATTTTGTATCCTAATTCAATGGTTCCAAAATTCCACTTTATTGTTCATATTCCTCGTCAGCTTATCTTCTTTGGTCCAACTCGTCAACAGTTTTGTATGAGATTTGAGGCCGCTCATGCTTGGTTCAAAACATTAGCTAGAGTCGTTAGAAATTTTAAAAATATACCTTTGTCGTTGTCGCATAGGTATGAGAGTTTAAGATGTTCCGAGTTAACAGGGATTTCAAGAGAATCATCAGTTAAGTTTTTATATACTGGACACAAGATCAATGAAGGTAATATGCTTGATTTAGATGACATTCCTGAACGTGAATTATTGATATCTTTTTTATCGAATTTACATGAACAACTGTCGATATCATTAATGCTCACAAAGAAAGTAACTGTGTATGGTACAACATATGAACCAGGTTCTATCATATTATTAAAATGCGAAGAACATGATATGCCTATTTTTGGCCAAATAACGAAAATATATGTCCATGGAGAAGACTTCCTTTTGTTATACAAAACATATGACACATTATATTATTGTCCAATTCTAAATGCTTATCTCGTACAAAATTCACCACTTGATGATACAAATGTTATAAAAATGAAAGATCTCATACATCCCCATCCTTTATCTATATTTTTTTTTCAAAATTCAAAGTTTATTGTTCTTTTTAATTATAGCAGAACAGAGTTTATTCAATAGTTAATATAATCAGATGTAAGATAAAATAGCACCGAGACACTGCCGTGTCTCCATCAGATATCAATTGTTAAGTATTTTAGTTTACAGTAATATCTATAAGGATTTATGATGTATTTACTCTGATTATAAGCTTTATAAATTAATAAGAATTATATTATCACTTATTATATTATCAGAATTATATTATCGCTTATTAAAATCAAATTAATAACTATGTATGACAATTCTGTAAAACCAGAAAACATTTTTGAATAAATTGTTTATCTTAAGTTCATATTTTTCTTACATGTATTTTTTTTTAATGTATATAATTTTAAAGTAAGATTATATATTATGTAAAGCTAAAATTTCTGGATTGCTTTTGCTTTAAGTCCTTAACGTACTGTATTATTTTATGAGCAAGGACTCCTATTGCATACGCAGTTTTACTTATTATTATAAGTCTTATATTTTACAACACACGTTACATGTGTGTTACCAAAGTTAGAAAGTGTGTTATGTCCATTGCTGTATTATCGATATATTATTCAAGTATGTTCTCAGCACGAACTGAATATTATTCTGTGTCGGAGTAACACACGCTATGTGTGTTACGGGATTATTGAAGAAAAGTAACACGTCTCTGCCCTGTGTTAAATATGTCGTAATAGAAAGACATATCATTAAAACACACTTCTATTAACAAAAACAAATTATTTTGACGCGCTTTCCAGTAAATGCGTTAGAACAACATGTTATTAAATGCTTATAACACATATGTTTCCATACCTATTTTTGCAGTGTACCACCGACCACGCGAAGCACGCATTGTCCATAGATCGCACGTTAACTACCGCTCTCTTGTCCTTAATTTTCTTCGGCATTTCGACGCAGCATCCCGCGTGCATAGGATTAAGTTTGTTCACGTTCACTGTCAAGTTCAGGATTCGCGAGAGCGCCCACCCGCCGTCACGCTTCTGGTACTCTTCGAGCGACGTCAATGTAGGTTCGATAACGCGCGACACGTACCACTCGCGCACATTCGACGTTGGATACAGTTCGCAGTTTTTACTGTTCATACTCATAACAGTGCGTTTATCGCCCGCAATGAACTCACCGTTGAACGCGGTGTTCACTTTCACGCTACCGCACTGCAAATCCATAGTGTGTTATTTTAAAACACATATATGTGTTATTTGACTGAAGCCACTTTTAACACATATCTCGATGTTTTATATTTCAACGCACTTAAAACGTTTTACTTTAACTCATTTAATGTGTGTACCAAATTAATACGTTAAATGTATTTATCTAATATAACACATTTAAAACGTGTTAATAAACGCGATTTAAACGTATTATATCAAATAAGCACGTGTTTAACATGTATTTATATTGCGGATATAATAGTCTAATACTAAAATAAAAGAAAGACTTATTTTTATTTTTTTTTAAATATATTTTATATATTTTTGTATACATACATCATATTTTCGTATAATTATATCAAGTTAAAAACTTAAAAAAATTTTCAGAATATATTTGTGCTTGATATATATCCGAGTGTGTCCAATTAAAATTAAAAAACGCAAATAAAATAAATTTTATAATAAACAATATAAAGAATAGATTAACGATTTGTGTTGGACCGTCCCTATTTAAAAACGAGAAACTATGATATACAATATAATCGGCCAAATGACGGTCAAGCGCAGGATTTTGGTTGCTAATATAATGTGTGAATTTTATTTACCACGTATGTAGTCACTTTATCGCGTGCCGAAATTTTTTCAGACTTACAATGCAACTCTAATCAACTACCGTAGTAATATCACTTTTAGTTAAATTGACACAAGCAATCTAACAAATTTTTGATGCTTTTAGCATCTTATTGGATCTTAATAATATGTTCAAAGACATATTAAAATTTAACGATGTAATGTTAAAGTAATGATAAATTAAAATCTTTGAAAAATATAAGATTGTGAGAAATATCACAAGTTGGCGTTTTGTCCCGGCTTGCCACTACTAGATTCATCAGTAAGGTAATGTAGTGATTGCCTTTTTTTTCTTTTTTTTAAAAAGGTAATTTTGTTGAGATATCACGCATTTTTTGTAATGTTAAATATTTCTTATAAACTAACTATAATTTTTGTACCGACCGTAAATTGTCTACAAACAATGAAGGAATTAAACGCCTATAACGGTCAAAGCTGGATCAAAGTGCTAATAATAAGTATGAGTGAATTCTTATATACCACATATGTAGCCCCCCCTTTTAAATGCGCGCTGATACATCAGACATATAACGCATAAATACTACAGTAGTATTATAATATCACCGAATAATACTTGATTAATTTAAATATAAGGATGATAATTTAAAATTCGTAAATACATCGGATCTCAATAATCTTATTCTTTATATTACGAAAAATATCACAAGTTGGCGTTTCGTCCCGGTTTCCACTACTGGACTCATCAGTAAGGCAATGTAATGGAAACCTACCTTAGATAAAAGTTGATAAATTCAGCCATTTATTGTGAGATCCGATAATCTCGGGTACACGGAACTCATCGACTCGCGTAAAGATACACGTGCGGTCTCGCGCTTCGCGTTCACTTGGCGCGAGACACTACCGCGTCTCTTGATGTCAGTTGAAGACATAACCTTTTTTCACAAATTTATAATTATCTTATATTACTTTGTATTATACATATACACATACACACACAATAATATATTTACCTCTTTTATAACAAATAGTGGAGAATATTGTTTTTGAAATTTTTTATTAGTAAGTTTCTTATACAATTCTTCTATAACATATGCTTTTGATTTTTCATTAGAGTTCTCCATAGAAAAATATTTCATCAATTTGTCAATCATAGAGACAGTTTTATCAAAAAGCACATCTTCTGTTATAGATCTCATATTTAAAAATTCGAAAAGCATCTATAGAAAAAATATAAAATTAGTTATATTATAAGTATAAAATAAACAGTAAATGATTACAACAACAGTACTAAGCAAAAATATATATAACAAGGCTATAAAAATGAGAAAAAAATAAATTGTAAAATTTATTAATTTATTTTTTTAATATAATTTATCCTAATCTTAATAAGTTTCGACTTGGACTTAGTCTTCCTCAGTTAATACAACTCTAACAACTTCCTATTACACATACACACACATTATGTAACTCATATTATGTAAACTCATATACTATATAAATTGAATTCTATATCTAATAACATTCTACGCAATCTTTGGTGTCGATTCTTTAATTTAACATTGTCAGAACGAATTCCATTATTCTCTTGTACAATTTTTAATATTATGTTTTTAATTGTAATATAATAGAATAATGAAACTCATATACTATATAAATTGAATTCTATATCTAATAACATTCTACGCAATCTTTGGTGTCGATTCTTTAATTTAACATTGTCAGAACGAATTCCATTATTCTCTTGTACAATTTTTAATATTATGTTTTTAATTGTAATATAATAGAATAATGAAATTCGTTCTAACAATGTTAAATCAAAGAATCGACACCAAAAGTTGCATAGAAAATGTTATTAGGTATAGGATCAATGTAGATATATGAGTTACACAAATATAATAGGAAGTTGGTAGAGTTGTATTAACTGAGGAAGACTTATAGTGGAAACGTATTAAGACTAGCATAAATTATATTAAAAGAATCTGTTAATAAATTTTACAACGTATTTTTTGCTCGTTTTCATAACCTTGTTATATATATTTTTGCTTTGCGAATATACGAGACTATTTAATAAATAAAAGTCTATATAACAGTACTAATATAATATGATATATGATGAGGTATGACAGACAAATGGTACAAAGTAAAAATTATTTTCAATATAAAATTTAATACAAAAGAGTACTGAATATTCTAACAGA